TCGCAGTAACATTTGATGCCTTGCTACCTGAAAAATATTAATGCGAGGCTTTAAACTCTGTAAAAATTTAGCAAACATCCTGCGGCTTTTGACCCATCGGTCGTAGCCCACTCTTGTGCCGTCCTTATCATCGCAGCACGATTGGAAACTGGAGCCGTCGAGCCACATTTACAGTGCAAATGTTATCGTTCCAGTGACACTTTAAACAGTCTTTATCAATATATAGTCATTCAAGGTTTATGAGCTTTGATAAAATGCCACTAGCGAGCAGGGTCATTACGCTGTGTAGCTACAAGGTGTCATTTCAGATTACAATTATTATTTTTTTTTTCTGCAGAACATCTGGAACGAGCTGATGCTCAAGAGTTTAAGATAAATACTCGGTGGGTCTAGAGAGCAAAAGATATTGATTTCCCCCCCTCGGGAAGAGCGGCGTGAGGGCAAACTATGGTGTGAGTTTGGCAGAACCTTATCGGCCTATTATCTTTAAAACAGTGGGTTATCATAATTGCTTACTTAATAATTCTATAAAGCCGTGGCGCTGCAACCTTTGCCTGGGCAGTAAACTGTCAAGTGCTCAGATTGAAAAGATTCATGATGAGGTTAGAAAAGCTGCAAAGATTAACAGGCCTAGAATTTCAAATCAAGTAAAAATGGGTCAAAGTACATCCAGAATTTGTGATTACATTGATCTACTAAGGCACACGCACGGCTAAACCTTTCAAAGAGGCATTATGTTCACATTTTAAGCTACTTTAATAAATCATTAAACAGCACGAGTATCAAATCAGGGCAGCTAGTAACCAGCTCCGACACTGTGGGTGTCTTTAGATGTGATTAGTTTCACGGCATTACAAGCGCGCTGAACAATGGGGTAGCCGTACTTCATCAACAAGCGCAGATCTCAACACACTGTGAACCCTCAGCTAAGCAAACAAGGCGGCGTTGGTGTCGCTGTCCTCCCGCACGCTGCCAGGTGAGGCTTGGGGATGGTGAGGTAGGTGGTGGGGGGGAGATCAGCATTCAAAGCCACAGTTTCTAATCATTGTAAAACCAGATAGAGACAACAAAGAAACTCCCCAGAAGCCAGACTTTACTGAATTCCCCCAACTGATGCCTTTTTTTTCCCTTTCTTACGATCTCTTTTCATTACTGGAAAACAGGGGCTTCTATTGAGACAGCAAATGCTACAATGTACATCTGACAGGTGCTCGCTTCTGCCGAGCAGGCAGTAACCTTGGAGGGAGTAGACAGGAATGTAGCAGCCCTATCTGAGCTCAGAGGGAAATGCTGACTGCAAAGACCTTTTTTTTTTGTTGTTGTTCTGAGAGAAAAATCAATATTCCAGAGTCCATCACATGGCCAGGCAATTTAGTGCTTTTTTTCTCTCTCTCTCTCCAGGTGGCTTCCAACTATGTGAAACAAGCTCAGAGTGACCCCTGGAAAAATAGTTAATGGCTAACTTCTTTATCTTTGTTTTACAGCCAAGGGTTGTACCTCCAAATCAATACGTGATACACAAATATCTCAGGGCTCCGTGGTCTGGACGGGGAGCGATGACGAGGGCCTGAGAGTTAGCCAGCTTTACACCACCTGCCAGAGGAGAATGATCTGATGTGGAAGGCCAGAAGCTTCTGGTAGAGTCAGCGTGAAAAGCATGTGGTCAGACTGTGTTAGTTAGATTCAAACTATGCATTGCTGCTTTTAAATCGGTGTTAATACTGGTCTTTTAATGAAGGGAGATATCTGCAGCTTGAAGCTTTTCCCCATCGTCAGATAAAAAAAAAGCTCAGTTAAGAAACAGACGGTTGATTTTACACATCAGTTAAACTGGATTGGATGAAAAAATTAAGGGGAAAAAAAGCTGTATTGCTTGATGGGCTTAAGAGATGCTGGTAATCATCTCAGTCTTCTCCCATAATCCACTGCGGGAAAATCTTTAAAGAACATATGATCAGTTATTAGTCTGAAACGGATTTATTTTTTATGATTTGATAAATTGTTAAAGCCACATTAAGGACATGAACTTCACAGATATAAACATTGTTCCGTGATATTTCAAGCTGCACCAGAATAAATATAATGAGTTGAGTTGTAAATGCGGCCCTCTGCCTCCAGTTTCTGTTAATATTTGTGTCGGTGTGCAGCCTGGGAATGCAACACATGGGCCTCGATAGCAGACCCCTGCTTTTCTTGTAGTGTTGCTGGTACTGACAGATGGAACTAACACAATTTTTTTTTACAGCAAAGGCCAACAAGCTTGAAATTTTCTCGCCTCTCTCAGTCTACGCTGGCCAAGATAGTTGATATCTGTCACCGTCTGGTCCTTCGTCCCTGCAGACCTTGCGGTAAATCAACAGAGTGGCTCCCAGACAGATAAAATGCCACATCAGAGTTTAAGAGGCCTAAAGCAGGATGCAGTTCCCAACCAGCGTCATGGTGAGGGAAAGGAGCATCCACTTAGGGAGGGCAGACAACCACCCCCGTCCTCCCCCCTCCTCCTCCTCCTCTGATAGTAGCCGTAATCTCTGAGGTTGACCTGTCAGTCAAATCTTGGAGACAGATGACGTGAGGCCCCTGATAGGCTGTCTCCAAAGGAGGAGACACCAGCCGGCCGCGCTGGCCGACGGGACGGAGAGCAGGACTCAAGACGACGGACGGACGGATGGCGGGTCCGATGGGGGGGGGGGCACATGAGGAAAAGGTGGGTCAAAGAGGTGGTGTGGTGGAGGAATGCCGAAAGCAGGGAGCGGTGGGGGTCAGGGAGAAGGTCTCCTGATGAGCAGGGAGACGGCGCTTTGCTGGGGATCGTTGCATGGCTGACAAAGTTTACTTAACACCAACCCCTGGGAGCACGGGTCACGGGGGGGGGGGACCACATTCGCCTCCAGCTCAAAGGGTTAAGTTTTTGTCACAGGAAAAGGAGGACAGTGGAAAGGCCTCTGTGTTTGCTGATATAGTTTATAAGTAGTTATCAAATCCCTTAAGAGACCAACACACTTACTTTTAAAATGATCACCTACCCTGCTATTGTTAAAAGTATAACACACATTTTTACTATTATTACTATAACGATTACATTTCACAGTTTTATTGCTTTGCCGAAATAATGACGCTTTGTTGACACTTTAAGTTTCGCTTAACGACTCTTACCGTCATCTGTTTCATCCGAGTCGAAGAAGCTGTAACATCTGTCAGCCAAACACGTGATGCCAGTAACTACGAGCTTGTAGTAAAATGCTCGTATTTGTCTGAGCCAACACACTGCTCGTTATCAATATTGGATTTCCTGACATCACGCCGCATAACTGCAATGTGTTTCTGCAGCCGACTTTTGAATTCAGACGTCGGACTTTCCCACAGTAAAGCGCGTTAATGAGAAAGTGCTTTTATTTCAGCTGTTACAGACCTTACAGTGGGCTAAATCCTAACCCCCATGGCTGCGATGTTTCCTGCGCTTTGGAAAATACACAAACAACCCTGTTGTTATTTTATTGTAACACTGCAGTTTCCCATCAGTGTCACCATCTTTGCCCCGCTTTAGGTACACATAAGGTAGGCTAATGCATATGCCCCATTTTCCCACAAGGATTTTGCACTTTCACAGAGATGTACTGTCACTGGGCAACTGACAAAGGCTATCAGTATTACTTCAATGTCAACAAATCCAAAGTAATCCTGAATGAGTAGCGATAGTCATTTGTTTAATGTAAAGATGTTATCAATTTTTACAAGCTTGCAGTGTTGGCTAACTTCTCCCATGTTCTTTAATAATCAGAGTCTTCGCCTCAGCACCCAACTGAGGAGAGAAAGCAAGCAAGTCTTCCCTTGATCGCAGCTACTGCCCATGACTCCCATTAGATTACAGAGGAGATTTATCGAATTGGCTTCCGGTTTTTTAGATAGGATAGTGACAACACTTATCTCCAGATATTCCCTTATCAAAAAACAATTTAGAGAGAGAAACAGACATTAGCTCAGATTTTTTTACATTGCAGAGTGCTCCAGCTTAGCCTCCTCGGTACAAGGGTCTGTTTGCACTGTGCACACAAACCTCCATCTGCCCGGATAGAGAGGCATTAGCATTGCCTTAGTGCTCTCTTGATGTCACTGCCATTACGTTTGCATCAAGCTCTTGGACTTTGAGTCTTGGTTAATTCTGCCTGGATGGGGAACCTCCAATCATAACGGACAAGAATTGGTTGCACTGGTTTGCATTTAATTTCATGCAGCGGTGTTGACTGACCGGGCGGCTTCAGTAGATGGTGAGAGAGGTCACCAAGAGGTTATCCTGATCTGAGCTTGATTTTAACCGTGTATTTATCAAGAACCCAGGGAGGCATGTTCCTGTGTGCTTGTGTTCCTGCCAGTGCATGCTTGCACCTCTGCGCAGAGAGAAAGAGAGACGTTGTGAGGCAGGAGTTACTTTTTGAAGCAGCTACAAGATTTTGACAAAGGTATTTGTCAAGTGTGTGTGTGTGTGTGTGTGTGTGTGTGTGTGTAAAGCCAGAAGGCCATCTGGGGGAGTCAGTAGGCAGAAAGCATACACTGCTGTGCTTATGACCCTGGAAGGATATCAAGAAAAGAGAGAGAAGAGAGAAAAACACAAACTTGGCAATAAAGTCCCACAGAGCACGCCTGTTTTTATGAAGCTAATAACGTTTGATTTACAATTATTAACCAAGAATCTGCTACCTTTTTTTTTTCTTTTTTTTTTTGGACAAACATCTGTTGGCATGCTAGATGAGCCAGTTCGTGAAAAGCTCATGTGCCCAACAAGCATTCTCACTATTTGTTCTTTCCATGGATTACGCCTGTAAAATAGGCTGCAGGTGTTTGGGCCTTGGAGCACGGTGTTTAGGGGCCACGTTAACTATTAACACAGCCATATAACACTGTTACTGATTACCACCTCTCGCTCCTGAGACTCCCACTGACCTGAGTCACAGGTAGGAATCCCACATAGGTGTGGATTTGCTCTCATGGTGTGGATCACTTACCGGAACCACCACATGTGGTGTTGGAAAGCGGCCTCCCTCCTTTTCATAATTCTGTTTTCTTTTTCTTGTTCATTGTCCTTCTTAGCTTCCTTCCCTCCCACACAGACATGCAGCTGAGTCACCTCCCTCGCTGGATCTTTTTCTGTGACCTTCATGGTGACCTTTATCCTCTCTGCCATAGAACGCCAAGACGTGAAGATGTCTGGTATAAGAAAAAAGTGGAACCATGTTTGGCATGTAGTGCTGGAGGTACTTTAATCTGGGGAAAAAGTCTAAGGTGTGGGGGACCACAATGAATGACTCACAGCATATGTACAGCAAGGCACGCTGCTGAAAGACGCTACATTACTTTGTAATTTTTTTTAAAGCTTAATCATATCTTATTCAGTAGTTGATGCCTTACCTAAGTTGAACCCCCTCCTATACTCCCACTCCCCACCAGGCCTAAGCAGTGATTATTTTATTTATTAGACAAAAGCTACAAATGTATTTAATTAGCCTAGTGTTCCTGGAAACATTTTTTACATACGAAAAATTCTAAAAGCTAAACACAACAATAAAGATTTACAATATAATAAAAAAAGAATAGTAAACTAATCTTTCAGCTGATATCTATCCATTTATGTCCACTAATCAAGATATGCTGAATTTATTGCATTTATTGCATTCACTTATTTCTCTCCTGCTGGCATATATACAGTCACAGGCCACTTTATTAGGTACACTTTGCTAGTGCTGGGTTGGCCTTGCTTTTGCCTTCAGAGCTGCCTTAATTCTTTGTGATATAGACTCAACAAGGTGCTGGAAACTTTCCTCAGTGATTTTGGTGCATATTGACATGCTGCTGCAGATTTGTCAGCTGCACATCTACTCAGAGCTGGTGACTGTGGAGGCCAGTTGAGTAGAGTGAACTCATTGATTTGAGCTTTGTGACCATTGCACATTGTCCTGCTGAAAGCAGCCATCAGAAGATTGGGATCATAAAGGGATGAACATGGTAAACAATGCTTATTTGCTACTAAGGGGTCCAAAGTGTGTAAATATCCACTACAATATTACACCACCACCAGTCTGCACTGAACCTTTGATACAAGAAAAAAATTATCTATATTTCCAGGTTGTTTACACCAAATTGTAACCCTACTATGTGAATGTGTCAGCAGAAATGATACCAGTCATCAGACCTGGCAACATTTTTCCAATCTTGTGCTGTAAGGTTTTGGTGATTCTCTTTAACAGTGTGGTCTTCTGCTGTTGTAACCCATCTGTTTTTAAGGCTTCTAAATGCCGTGTCTTCAGTTATGCACTTCTGCATAGGTTGCAACGAGTGATTATTTGAGCTAGTGGTGACGTCCTCGAAGCAGTCTGACCGTTCTCTGATCTCTGGCATCAACAAGGCATTTTCACTCAAACAACTACTGCTTACTGGATATTTTCTCATTTGTAAACAATTCTCTGTAAACTCTAGAAAAGGTTGTGTGGGAAAATCCCAGGAGATCAGCAGTTTCTGAACTACAATCACTGTTTCAATGTTCAAAGTCACTTAAATCATTTTCTTCTTTATTCTGATGCTCAGTTTGAACTTCATCGGGTGGTCTTGAACATGTCTTCATGGCTAAATGCTTTGAGTTTTGCCATGTGATTGACTGATTAGATATTTATGTTAGATTGAGCAGTAGCCAGTAAGTGTATATACATACAGTTAACAGTTTTATAGCAGATTTATCCAACTTCACCTCTTTTCAGTCCAACAATCTTTCAGGCAGAAACATAACAAGTTGAATATTAAATGGTTTACACTTCTAACTATAACGGTCCCCAGAGTACCATTATACATAATACTGAGATGGCTATAGCGAAATAGTCTGAACAGCTAAAAAAAACAAAACATTATTTACACCTTCTTCTAGTCAAATTCTTCTATGTTTTTGTTTTCTCCTAATTGATGCTTAGTAGTTAGTTAAACATTTATAATTACCCAGTTGAGGGCCCCTGTTTCCAAATGAAAACCTCTTTAATAGAGCGCAATCATATCACAACAGAATCTTACCGACCTGTTTGAGAAGCAGCTGGTGGCTGAAAGCAACTTTCATCGAGCAATGAATCTCCGCTTCTGCTGGCATAAAATGATGAAGGCTGTAAAGTATCTTTTGGTGATGTAACGACCTAAATACTTACAGACAAGCATTTTAATACAATCAAAACCTTGCAAATCAAAACTGGAGCTATGTTGTCTCAGTCCTCCTACTGATAATAAATCAAAATTACCTTTTTTTTTATAGCTGCTGTATGCTAGGTTAGCATATATAGGGAACCCATGGATAGCTAACCAGCTAACGGCTGCGTTTAAAAAACACGTTTTTTCGCGCATTAGCTTGTGTTGTGGTTTTGTTTATAAACCAAGTGTTAAGCTTTTAGCCGGTGTGACAAAGTGGAAATCCTTGTCAGGGCAATTCTACAAGCGTCATGTCCAACAAGGGAAAACTCTCCCCAGCAGAAATGTATGCCTTATTAGAGTAAGTACCTATCATACATACAATACTATGCAAAAGTCTTAAGTCACCCCTCACTTTGGTAAGAAAATAAGGAATATGTGCACAAACAAACATGAAAATACAACGTTTAAAGTTAATATTTGATATGACCACCTTTATTCTTCAGCAAAGCATTTAAGTGGTCTTCATGAATATTTCTCCAGGCTTCTTGAAGCACATCCAGAGCTTTTCTTTGGATCTTGGCTGCCTTTTGTTCTGTTCTGCATCAGTCCACCATAGTATTTTCATGCAACCTTTGAATAACACAAAGTTAGCATGCTTCAGTTTGTTTTGCAGAATATTTTACAATATGAAAAAAAAAAAAAAACCCTGTAACTTCACACCATGTATCCGTTCAAATAAAATGAACTGTTCAGAATGAGGACATTAAATGTAAGCTTTAACTTTCCAGTTTATCAAATGTGGCTGAGCAATGCTTACCTTTAAAACGATCTCCTTCCTCTCCTCCGTCTTTCTTGCATCTTTCTCTGAGATGTGATGTTGTGTCACATTAATTTCTCTCCCTGGGAACTAAAGTAGCTGCGCATTTAGGTATGCAGCAGACAACTGCACACAAACTGTTTGCGTATTTGCTGATTTTTGTTGAGCTTTTCACTTGCTGAAAAAACACTGCTCCCTTTATGCTCGCTCCTCTTCTGTTGCTAAACAGATGCTGAAACATCCGGATGTCCCGCTGACATACCAAAAACTGACTGTCTACCTAAAAATGAAAGTGTTATAAATGTGTCTGTCATTAATGATATAAAGTCATTTGGAAACAGAACAGTTCTCATACAAGGTAGAAGTTGCAATGAGTTTTTGACAAAGTGATTTCTTTACATCGTTTATTTAGGTAAAAAGTTTTGCTGAAATTAAAAATGTCTTAGAAATCAATATAATATGATAGAATTGTTGTATAAAAATATTTTAATTGACATAAAATACTTGATTTTATTGTTTTTACACACACGCCTTTTGTACTTCCTGCTGACTGAGTGATGCATAGACCATATACATTAATAGGACTGTCTATGTGTTTCCTCCATTAAGGTCAGTTGGGTTTGATGTGTGATGTAACTTCCCTCAAATGCAAGAGCAGTCAGAAGTACTCAAGTACTTGCTTCGTTACCTCCCACCTCCGATGATAATAACTAAAAGACAAAACCTGGGCATCGTGTTCAGGTCATCTTTGCCGTTGTTCCACGCATTTTCTCACACTGCGTCATGTGGTCACACTGAAGATACCGTTGGTATCTGACAAGAGCTCCATCCTCGCCTTGATTCGCCGCTGTTATCACGTCGGTTTAATCGTGCTTCATGGATAATATCAGTCCAGGCCTCGGGCTGGAGCGACGTCTGCCTGGATACAGCATCTTGAATCTACAAGGCTGCGTTCTAGCAGATCTGTAAACACTTGGCTTAGTGGAGCCTACGAGGCTAAGCTGCTGACCGGCGTCTATCAAAACAAAGCGCACACACACACTGGCCAGGGTTCGTCTTAATGTCAGTAAGAATAATGGCAGGGGTCAAACTGGAGGACAGCTCCTTTTGAAGTTCAGAATCTGGTTTGTAAACAGAATCAAATTCTCTTTTTAAGGCAGCGTCTATGCTCCCAAAGTAATGTACCAACGATTTAATAGCCACAGGTGTGCCATTCTGGGGTTTTTTTTATACATATATTTATATTATGGTTATACAACTTTAGTTTTGATAACATTCTTGTGAAATAACTGGCGATGTGGACGTGACTTTGACACTGAAGGGAAGTCGGGCCAATCGAGAACTGAGCCAATGGTAATTCAGATCGGCCGTGTCTTTCTTAGTCTCTTTTGTTGGAGCACACAGTTCAAGTCACAATAAGCGACTTAACTGTACGTGCCGCAGATCACCCTGATATGGCCCTTTTTGTGTCCAACAGCCGAGCCAGTGGTGGTCAGAGCTGAAGCTGAATGTGTTTGTTAGAAAGAGCAGAAGGGCTCCGTGCTAATTCACTTGTGCATTCAAAATCTGTTGCTGTGAAGTAAAAGGGACGGTCTCGCCTTTGCTTTTCGACCAAGCTGCGAGTTTTTCCACCAACGGGGACGCAGACCAGCCTGAGATATTATACTCCCACCATGGGCAAACATGCAAACACAGCGAGCCACTGCTCCGCGTGGTACAGTACACACCGTTAGAGAGGGCACAAAGGAAGGTGCATGATTGGTGTGTTTGACGGCGATCTGATAAAACCATAATTGGAGCATGTAGAATGCATATGTTTTTCAGTCAAACAAAAGCCCCGGTCACGCCATAGAAACTGCCTCTCAATGTTTTCATTGTCTGGCAACTGACTCAAGTGAAGGAGAGGGCGACAGAAACCTTCAAGTCAGTCTGAGAGTGTGTTTAATGTGTGCGGAAGGGGAGCGGCGTGTACGTGCGTTTATCTGCATGTGTGTTTAAGTGTGAGAGGCCGAGACGAAGCGAGGCTGTACGGTCACAGAAGGACAAGCGCCGTGCAAAGTCGGCTATGTCTGGTGGAGCTCCAGACACTTTTGAGAGAAGCTTATCAGATCATAAAAGAGCTTATTTGTTCTACTTGCTGAAAAGCTGCAGACATTTTTTGCACACATTTTCTCCTGGAAAGGAGTGTATTTACAAAAAGGTCAGGGCCGATGTTCGACACTTCCTACTGGACGGTTACTATGAGACATCGGTGGTAGTTCTTTGCGACATCCACGTGCCCAAATGACAAAATCGAAACTTTGATTTCCTCTTCCCACATCTGCAGGTTTTTGAGTCAATGCTTTTTGTAGAGTTTTCTCTCAACCAATGACCACTGTAGGAAGTGGTTTTGGTGAAATTAAAAGACAGATTTCTGTGCAGGATGGAAGGAGCGAACCCTCAAAAAGTTACAGGATAGACTTTAACTGATACTAAATGTGACCTTTTCTGTGACCTGACCTGTCTAAATTGTATAGATGTACATAATCAGGCTGTATAAACTTTATACACGCAGTCATTCATTCACTGAATTTGTGATGTAAAGAAGAGTATCTCAGTTTTCTTTCTTTGGCTCCATAGCATCACAGTTGCTCCTTTTTGCACTTTTTCTGAAGCCATGTCTCATTTTAAACCTCAGTCATGATGTGTTTAACCCTATAAAGAATGGAAAAGGAAATAATTACCAAAAAAACCCACCTTTTTTTAATGGAGTCTTCAAAAAAACCCAAACAAAACCCAGACATTATATGTTAATTGCCTATATGAGTTTAAATTTGCATCATATTTGCTGCCACCAGCAGTTTTTGCCTTTTTTTTTTAACAATATGAAAGTCTAATAAACTCATTAAATCTCTTGTATCAAATATGATAAACTTGCCGTTAAAGGATTAAAGCACAGGCGACCAAGACAAAGCCTTAAAAAATAGATTGCACAAGTTTGAGTAAGTTGCGGTGCTTGAAGTAAGATATGGGTTTCTTGCAAATGGCAATAAATAAATAAGGAAGGCTTGAGAAAATCTGGTGAGTCGTTACTCTTTTATGGCTTTTTCACGCACTGGAGTCCCTTCTTATAGTCTAACACTCTCAAACACCTGGTCAGCTTCTTAAAAACGTAAAGATTTTGTTGTTTTTGTTGAGTTTTAACACAAATATATATGACATAAATTCTGCAGGTTTTTCACTGATTTTAAGAATCTGTAACTAAGGCGCCATCAGAAGGAAGAGGTCATATGTCTTTTCATTAACTCTGGAATCACCCTGGGTGATTTGATGTGTGATACGGGTGAAGCAGAGATAGCATGCGTTCTAGTCAAGGGTCCCACTAAGCCATGCCAGAGAGAAGCAACATGCACAACACCGAGACTCAAAAACTTACAGATAAACTAATTCAGCCGTTATTATTCTTAACAAAACCTGCGAAAAAGACTGTGCCCTCCTTCCTTCAATATCCCATCTGTCTCCCACTCGTGAGTTCAACAATTGGTGATTGTCTTATTTCCACCACACACTCCTCTGCTATCTTTCTAACAAGCAGCTGAGATTTCGTAGACCTTGAAGCCTGAGTGGGATAGCAAGATCTTCCAGCTGCTACAATGCAGCGCCATGCCCGAGTATCCGATCCCTCCAAACTCCCTCAAGCCATCCCGCCACCTCCACCTCCTTGCTTCCAGGCTGCCTCTGCTTTGCTATCAGCGACGCTGCCTTGGCCAAGGCTGTTTTCTCTCAGGCTGGGGCTCCAAACAGCTGATTCAGGGAAAGTAAGAAAATGTACTGGAGACCTGACCTTCTCTCCTGAGACAAAACACACAGAGGGGGACTGGCTCCACAGGATGGAGACGCTAGCATGGAAACAATAACATAGCCTCAGAATCTACGCAAGAGATGAGGCTCTGTTTTCCAGAGACAGAGGTGCAGAGGCGTCTGTGAGCGAAGCTGCGTCCTCTTTCGTTCTTCTTTCACTACAGGTTTTACAAACATTTGTAAACGAGCCGAATACTCGTCAGGCTGAATAATGGTATCAGTGAACATTTGTTAATTTTATCAACACTTAACAACATGGTAGCGCAGAAAAACAGCTTGTCTGACCCAAAGTGAACAAAACCTAATGCTAATGCTCAATACCTGGCATTTTGCATCTCGTTTGTTTAACATATAGACAGAACCAGAATTTCTTAATAATCCCAACCCTCCAGTCTCTTGTCTTACCTAAGCTAATTGGCAACTAGCTGAATATTTGTACTGGACACGTTACACAATTAAACAGACTTCAGTGATTTATTTTGATTTAAATCCTATATTAAAATTTAAAAAAAGATTTTATATTATAATTATTATTCTAAACAAAAAAACATCACATTTAAAATGTTTTTTAAAAAGGTTTTTTGTAGTACTGTTATTATTTTAATAATAATATTACTGATATTAGTTACACTGAAAAGAATAAATCAGTCTGGGTTATAGAAAACAGATCAGTCACATTACATTTACCATAAAACTGCAAAGAAAATGGGACACAATATCATAAAAGCCTTAAAAGATTAATATAAAACTATGTTTTCTGTAAGAGAATGGAGGGTGCTGGAAATCACTGCATGAATACAAATAAAGCACAAAAAATAAATGTAATTTTTGATCGACTGAGGAGAAGTAGACAACTCGAAACAAATCGAAACGGGAGGATTTTTCTTTCTTTCTTTCTTTCTTTTTTAGTT